GGAAGGGACTTATAAGATTTGGTAAAAGAGGAAAGTTGAGTCCAAGGTTTATTGGATCGTTTAAAGTTCTTCAGAGGATTGGGAACCAAGCTTACAAGCTAGAACTACCAGAAGAACTAGATGGTATTCATAACACTTTCCATGTGTGTTATTTGAGGAAGTTCACGGGAGAAGTTCCCGATATAATTCCAATTTCTGAATTAAGGTTGGATGAAAGTTGGAGGTTAATTGAAGAACCAGAGGCAATCGTTAACCGTAAGACTAAGAAGTTGAGACGCAAGATGGTCGATTTAGTGCTTGTGCGATGGAAACATACGAATGGGCCAAATCTCACATGGGAAACGGAGAGTGACATGATGAGTTGCTATCCGCATTTGTTTGCTGATGTGATTCCGGGGACGGAATCATCCTAACGGGGAGAGAATTGTAACGCCCGTGTTTCTAGGATAGACATTAATAATGATGTAATAGTCTAGATCAACCTTTGTAACTCGTTTTGAAGTAATAAGAATGAATTATGTAAATTTATGTGTCTTATACTTAATTATTATGATTTAATAAATTAAGCATAAAAATAAGCGTCGAAAATAAATGTTAGATAAACCTGATATCTATGAAGAAAGTTGTAATGGTTGAAACAAGGATTCCGGAGATATAAAGAATACCGAAATTCGAGTTATAACGAAAAAGTTATGACATGTCGAAGTTTCGCGACAAAACCAGCACGACGCTGTGTGACGTAAAAAAATGAGTTTACGATAAAGTGCTTTTTAGCCTTATCGATCTAAATGAAAGTCGTAGTACACGTTAAACCGAGAGCGTGCATATAAAGAATGTCCAAATCTGACTTCGTATGAGGAAGTTATGAATTTTCTAAGATTTGGCAAAACAGTATGCAGCCTGGAATTCGAAATATAGATCGAGCGATTTTTAGCCGACACAACCTAAACAAGAATCGAAGATCTTGTTGATAGTAGTTCAACGGTAAAATGACAGACGAAAACGGACGTCGGATGAAGAAGTTATGAATTTTTAACGGACTTTTCCTGTCCCGGCCTGTTAAAAATATAACTTTAAAAATAAATTCAAAAATAGCCGACGGAGTCTAAATGAAAGTTGTAGAGCACGGTCTCACCTACGCGTGGATATAAAGAACGTCAAAAACAGAGCTCATATGCAAAAGTTACGAATTTTTGAAGTTTGAAAAGTCGGAGTACGCCCAGCGTACTCGTGTACGTGATCCGAAGTCAGTCACCCCTACTCCTTCGCATGATGGACACGTGTTCGTAGCCTTGACGCGTCCGAGCTGATCCCTTCGTACGCCTCGCGTACGAAAGCGTACGCCCAACGAAGAGCCTTGCAAGGCAGTACGCCCCGCGTACCAGGAGGTGCTTCGGATACTATAAATAGGGTGCGAGGCTGCCCCAAAAATGTTTACAAAATTTGCCCTTTTTCACCTTCTACTTTCTTTTTACCTACAATAAATACCCCCAAGCCTAGAGTATCATCCTAGCATCGTAAGCAAGCCCCAGAGAGCCCGAAGATCTCGAGAAAAGGGTTTTTCGAGGCGAAACTTTGTCCGCGTGAAGCCCGGTTTTTTAGAAAACTTCCCGGTTTCATCGACAAAGATTATTTTAAGGGACGAAGTGCTGTCCAACCGCCGTCTTATCAAGTGAGTGCGTAGTCACTTTCATCTCACACATAGATATTAAGTATTTTCTATAAAATACGTGCTATGTGTATATATATTGTTTGTTTATTTGAGATGAGTGTTGAATAGATGTGTTATACAAGTTTTCAACTATATATATATATATATATATATATATATATATATATATATTATCTACAAATATGTTGGGTAAAACATGGGTAGATGAAATAGTTGATGTGTGATAAAATGATGAGAGGCCTCGATGTTGTTGTTGTTGTAGTCATCTAGCGGAGTATAGATGACGACCACATACCTTTCTAGACAGTCCAGTGGAACGCTAGCAGACTCGCAACCTGTAGGTGTTGGTGAACAATATGTTCACTGGTGTTCTCCATCCCCCTCATGGTTGCCTTACGGACATATATGGCTGAGGAATCCCCTTAGCAGTAAAGTCCATCCCGATGATTATCCTTAGGCTAGGCCCCTTATGATAGGTGTTTAGGGACGTAAAGTGAGGATAACGGGAACGGGTAATCAGGGTTATTGTTGGTTGATGAAATTAATAAAGTTATTGCTGATTGATGAAATTAATAAATTTATTTATTGTGGGTTGAAAACCCTATATGCTCACCAGGCTCCCAAGCCTGACCCACTCATCTTTCTATATTACAGGTAGTGGACCCAGAGCATAGTTGGATGATGACGCGGGATTTTTAGATTATAGGTCAGTAGATGTAAATAACTGTTGTAAGGCCTATAATGTACTGTTTATGCTTTTGGTCTATATCGATGTGGACATTCCGAGTTTTGTAATGAAATGAAAATACATTTCTTTAAGAAATGCTTTGATAAATAATTTTTTATCATATTTTGTTTTGGGACAAATTCCGCATATTTTATTGGAGAGATTACTCTGATTTTATTTTAAAAGCATAAACTAGATCGGTCTTTCTGGCCGAGAAATTGGGGATGTCACATCCAGTTGTTCAGAAGATCGGGAAAACTTTTGTCAACTCACCGAGTCATCTTACCCACTCACCGAGTTCACTCAATATCTAGAAGGTGGGTAAACCCGAATCAACTTGTCGAGTTGGTTACGCAACTCGTCGAGTTCTTTCTGTCTTAACGTGTTCAGCCCTTTCCAGTCGACCCCAAGGCGCCAAACTACAGATCTAGCCTCTTAGGACTGATATACCACGTAAAGTTGCTAACTTTACATGCATGCAAGGTTTCAAAAGGGATTAAAACACTAAAACTAAGATTAATAAGAGGTTTAGGGCATGGAGGAGAGCCAAGACTAGATAAAGTCCACCACTTTATGTTCATGGAGGCCTAGAGGTGTCCAGATCTGAAACCACCTCCTCTGGACAAGCTCAAATCCGAGAATGACCCCATTTTGCACTAAAAATTATCATATTCTTGTATGAGAAGTCTCAAGTTCAAAATCTCGGGCTTTCAATCACTTGATTTAAAAGTGTATCCAACTTTTTCATTTAACCGGTTTCGGCTTAAAACAAGTAAAAAAAATCGGTTTTTAAAATATTTGATTCCTAACCGTCGGTTCATTTTTCTCAAAACATGTTTTTAACAAAACCGGTTTAGTTTTGTTATAACGGTTTCAAAAAACGGGTTCTTCTGTACACTAAAATTATGAGTCTAATGAAAATTATACCCATATTTATATATATGGTGAATTTTAATGCTTTTTGGGATGTTTCTTCTTACGTCAGTTATACTAAAAATAATATATTGACAATTTATACCCCTTCTCCAATTGTTTTTTTTCCTTTGTTGTTTTCACTATCATTTTTCTTCTTTTGACAATGAGTCTCATCTTAATATTTATTTTTTCTTTGGTAATTCTTCTCATAGCTAACTTTTATCTAAAGATTTTATAAATTAAAAGTTTATACCCCTTCTCTAATTGTTTCTTTTTCTTTGTTGTTTTCGCCATCATTTTTTTGACAATGCGTCCCCATCTTAATATTTATTTTTTCTTTGGTAATTTTCTTCACATAGCTAAGTTTTTATAAAGATTTTATAAAGGATAAAACTATTACACAATCAATCATTCAACAGAAAAAAACATAACTTCAAACTAAAGTATATCAGATCACAATAAAATATTGTCCAATAAAGAAATTCAAACTAATGCATATCAAATATTCAAACTACTCATGTATAGAAGTGTACAAAATGAACCCGTTTTCCTGAACCGATACGAAAAAACTAAATCGCTTTTGTTAAAAACATGTTTTGAGAAAACTGAACCGACGATTAGGAATCAGATATTTTAAAAACCGAAAACCGATTTCTTTTACCTATTTTAAGTCGAAACCGGTTAAGTGAGAAAGTTGGATACACTTTTAAATCAAGTGATTGAATCCCGAGATTTTGAACTTGAGACTTCTCATATAAGAAGCCCAAAACTTGCGTTATCATCACTTATATAACTAATATTATCAAATACTTCATTGCTTATTTGGAAGACAAAGATAGAAGTTGACGATTTTAGTGTTTGTGACGATTCCACAAACTAAAATTTTAATATCACGTATTAGAATTCAGTAATTTTTTTCTTCTATTAAGTGGTTGACTGTGTAATAGTTTTATCTGATAAATATGTTTATATCATCTTTAAAAAACATGGTGGTGTAAACAACGACAATATATATATTATATATATATATATATTATATTATATATATATATATATATATATTAAGATGATGGATTTATTGTAAAAAAGATATTGATGTAAACAATAAAGGAAGAGCAAAGGAAAAAAAGATGGGGTTGTAAAATGTCAATACCTCAAAGGAAAAAGAAGATGGGGTTATAAAATGTTAATTTCTTATTTTTGGTATAATTGTTGTATGAAGAAATGACGAACTAAACATAATTAAAATCTCCTACGTATCTAAACAAGGGTATACTTGTAATTGGACTTGTATTTCAGTGGCTTAATCAAATTCTTCCTTGGAAGAATCAGCACCCTTTACATATTTTAGCTTCTACTTGTATTCTATTGCTCCAGCATCAAAATCGAGTGGTTATGATGAGTTTGGGAATATTAAGGAGTAGAAAGTAGCGGAAGAGTTTATTTTCCTTCAACACAAGATATTCCAGTAAAAGCTCTTACTAAATACTCATAATCAACTAAAAAACACAATTAATCAGGTTCAAAATAGCCGATTTTAAAAGGCATTAATTGTGCTTTTACACGGCGTAAATTTACCCAACATTGTGTCAATAAAACTTGATTGACATTTCACATTCAATTTTTAGGGCGTTCAATAAATACTCATAATCAACTCAAAAACACAATTAGTCAGGTTTAAAAAAAATGGATGGTTGGACGGAGGTACGACGCAGGAAAACACCGGCGAAATTTCAAACTGGATTGGATGAAACTAGCTTCTTCGTATCGAACATACCCACAGGGGCTACAAAGGAGGAGTTCAGGAAGATATTCAACCTATTTGGTGGGCTAACAGACATCTACTTCGGGGGCAAAAAGGGAAGAACGGTAAAAACTTTGGCTTCATTCGATTTAATGGAGTCACTAATGCGAGAACACTCGAGGCAAGCTTGAATGGAACGTTATGCAGAAACAATAAGCTACATATTAATATTGCAAAACATGAAAAGGAAGATGCCAAAGTCATCCATCAAGTCTGGGAACAAATCTCATACGCTGACTTCAATTCCAGCAGGTGGTGGCTTTGCTGGAAGCAGAACTGTCACACCCCCGGACCAGACGGTGGAAACGTCCGGAGGCGGGTGACTTCATTGTGCAATATCATAACAATTGAATATAAATGAAACGGAGCAATCCAAACATCATACATTGAGATAACAAACTTACATTATTTACATATTGTATTTGTTCTTCGAATTACACAAAAAGAGACATAAGCAGAAAAATCCAAGCTACAGCTAAAAGTCTTGCATCCGCGTCCCTTGTTACCTGCTTACTAGATCCCTGAGAATACAAGTCGTTTTGAAAAGCGTCAACTAAATAGTTGGTGAGTTCATAAACATTTTTGTATAAAATTGTTTACACTTGTTAGGATCGTTCGTATTGTACATTTAGAAAATCCGATATTTTCTATGAAATCGATTGAAGTCTTGCCTTGAAAATCATGGATATATGAGTGCATGCCATTACTTTTATTCATCCTTATAAGGAGTGATCTTTGAAAAGTATTGTAATTTGTGAAAGCGAGTTGTGTCCGAGAATAGTTCTTTTGAATAGTAAAAATCAATCGTTTCCAGAAAAATCCCTTATTTTCAAAAAGAGAATATGGTTGAAAATCTTGTTCCTCTTATCGAGTAAAATTGAGTGTGCGTTCTAGTTTATTGTTATCGAAACCGTAGAAGATCGTTTTCTCCAGAAAATCCTATATTTTCTGCTATAAAATATTCGTAAATTCTAGTTCCAACTATGTATATGCGTGCGTTAATTTATCGTTTTCAAAATCGTTTACAAACGTTTTCCATAGAGTCCTACGCTTTTTAATTTGTAAAAATAGCAGTATTACGACTCTATACTTGTTAGGAGAAAGAATCAACGTGGCAATTGTAGACATTCTACGCGATGAAAAAGGACAGTCAACGCAACAAATGCGGACCATCACTTATCATGTATAGGACGGTCAACACAACGTGCCAAAAAATTTATTTATGAGGTTTTTCCTTACATAAATTTCTAGATGACATAACATATTCTAGTGAGTCGTTATAACCATACTAATCTGACGAAGTGCCTGTTTTGGCGTTTCTCAGGCGCCCTCGGTTTGGAAAAGACATTTGTCACCCTAGACTGGTCTGTCTAGCTGTAGCGAACAACGAATGTGCGAGGTGTCAACCCCGTATAGATCTATACACAAATTCCCGCTCTCTCTCCAGGAGACTTTGGCTATAACTCCTTACAGGACTTAGACGTACACTAATATTTTTATATTTAGGTACTTTTGAGATTTGTCTGACTAGAATATTAACAACCTTTTGAGCAATCGTTAGAGATCCATTATTTGTTAGATAAATAATGAAATTCGTATTTGTTGAATAAGAATATCGTTCTCGTTCCATATCGTTGATTGTGCTCGTTAACTAGGTGCTCGTGTTCGTTCTTTTCGTTTATTGAAAAATAAGTCATTTTAGTCAAGAGAGAAAAAGTGTCAAGTTATAATTTATATAAATTTATAACTGCAGGTTATGACACGCATTTTCTGTTTTATGACATATAGAACATTACTTATGTTCTTGGAGGTTCTATGACAGCAGCTTATGACATACAAATATTTCTGTCATAAAGGCTCTATTTGATATTTTCTTGATGCAAACTTTTATATTGAATATTTACAAAATACTCCCTGACAGTTTGCAAAATAGTCACAAAGTTTCCTTTTTCGAAAATGACTAGAAATGGTGTCCACTTATCAAGATCCCTTTTTATGATTTATATCTCTAGACATGAGAGCATAGATAAAGGGGTTAAGTTGGACACACCCAATAGTTGGGAGGCTCTTTTGTACAAAGTATCCTCTGTTCTTTATGAAATTTAGAAATCCTTCGTTCATGAGTATATTACTAAATAATAATTTAATAATATTTCACACACACATACAAACATACGTATATATGCAATGATTTAATAATCTAGGCAAGATTTGACTTGTACTCTCCCCCAAAAACATTAAAACATTGAAAAAGGTGGGGTATGAAGCTCACATTGAGTTAGTTGAGGAGTTGTCTGGAGTTATGGAGTGAAGATCTCAAGCTTAAACTCTTGCTGAGATGAGGAACTTCCCTGGGAGGGATGCTTTCCTTTCAACTCCAGGGAGAAATTGAGAATTTCCTTTCAGCAAGATCCCATGTTCTTGCTTGAAGATGAGTTTTTGAGAGAAAATGGGAAAAGTGAGAGAGAAAGTGGAGTCTAAACTCCCTTACTGTCGTGGCTTTGGAGTATAAGGAAAGGAAAGTAATCTTTGATGCATGGGGATCTGGTGGTCCATGCATGGATATTTGGTGGGTAAAGCATGGAATACTATGATTTGCATGGGAAATGAGGATTTTATCAAATCACAAAGTCAACTTCCTTGTCCTTTTCTTGATTTAGGATAAGGTTTTCCTAAATCCCAAACATTTATTTTTATGAAAAATATGCTTAAAATAATTAATTTTAGCATAAAATAGGGGTTTAAGGGGTTTAGGATAGGAAAAATGAGAGTTTGGTGTGATTTTCGGCGTCAAAATGTCCTAAAATGATAAAAAGGTCCGGAAATGGCAAAAATCCGGAGCTTAGAAGCGAAATCCGAAGTCATTATGAAATTTCCGGAGCAAAGGAGTAAATTCCGAAGCAAACAGTGAAGTTCCGGAGCAAAATCTCGCCATTCCGGAGTGCTCTTCTCGGATCCGAAGTCGTCTGATCAATTCCGAAGCCATCTTCCAAATTCCGGAGTCATGCGAGCGAAGTCCGGTCCGGCCAGCAGTCTTCCGAAGCGAAGTTTCGAAGCAAGAAGGGGGGAAGTTCCGAAGTGGTGAGTCCTCTTGGTTCCTTAGGAGGCATTCCGGACTAAGAGGTTCCGGACCACGAGGGTTTCGGACCAAGAGGGTTCCGGACCAAGAGGTTCCGGACCAAGAGGTTCCGGACCAAGAGGGTCCTTTTGGGGTTTCCTCTTCCGGTTTTGAGCTGTTTTCGACTAAGGAAGGTATTTAGGGAGATTTGAGAGAGATTTGAGATACGTGGAGAGATTTAGGAGAGATTTCACATACCTGGAGAGATTTGGGAGAGATTCACTATTCTTGGAGAGATTTGGGAGATATTCACTATTCTTGGAGAGATTTCGCATACTTAAAGAGATTTGGGAGAGATTCATTATTCTTGGAGAGATTTCGCATACTTAGGGAGATTTGGGAGAGATTTCACATACTTGGAGAGATTTGGGAGAGATTCACTATAGTTGGAGAGATTTGCATTCTAACACTTTATGGCTCTTTAGAAACTCATATTGAACACTTAGGAGTGTTAGCACAAATCTCACAATAGTCCTTACTTACCTGAGGAAAGAATTTCCTAGCCAAAAGTGCTAGTTGTGACAAGAACCTATGCGGAAGTTATTGGTGCAAGATCCACTTTACCCAGGTATCAAAATCCAGTAAATCCTCCAATTCGTTTAAAAGTAGATGACAGGATGAAGAGGATGTTTAGCGGGAAAATACTTACCAGAGAGGTGAAAACATTGGATCATCTTGGTCACCTGCCAGCGTTGATCTCCATTCATAGCGAGGTTGGAGCGAAGGTTAAATATGCTGGTGGAATGAAGGCCATAATTGAGTTTGATTCATCGACTCTAGCTAAGAACTTTTTGAATAATGAAAACAACTGGAGAGGTATATTTAACTATTTAAAATATGGGGAAGACGATGAGTACAATTTTGAGAGAGTAGCTTGTATAAGGATTGTTGGGCTTCCTATCCGTCTATGGTGTGAGGAGAACTTCTCTGCTATTGTTCATAAGTTTGGGAAAATCATAGTTCCTTTTGATCACATTGAAGATAGATTGGACCTCTCAGTGGTTAAAGTGGGAATTCTTACTGGTATGAAGAAAAAAATAAACGAAGTAATTAGAATAGAAGCTGAAGGAAAAATCTTTGATTTTGGGGTGGTTGAGTATGAAGACGAACCGTGGTTCCCATTCAAGTTTGAAAACGAAGACCAACCATACGAGTCGGAGTCGAATTATGCAACCTCTGAGGTAGAACCAGATGACGATGCTGAAGATGAAGAAGGTATATCTAATACCTGGGTGGACGAGGTTGAAGATGGAGAAATAGTTGGTGGCGGGAGACATGATGGCGCCGATGAAGATGGAGGTTCCGGCAATCACGATGCACATGAAACTAGTCCAGTTCAAAAGTCGCGGTCAACCTTAGAACCACCACAGGTACATGCATGCTCTGTTAATGGGGAAGTGGAAAAGACTCATGGGGAAATAATGAATTAAATATGAAAGATACCCCAATTGAAACATGTGCTGGAAATACTATAGTAACCGGGCGGGTCATGGACACTCCAATTAGGACCCATGCTTCCAATCTGGATCACTCGTTGATGGGCTCTCGCAAGCCTAGTTCTTTCCCCACAAATCTCGCACAATCCGGTTGCTTTGGATCATTCCCGTCCAAGGTGATTACTTCCCCACTCACTGAACAAGCTATCGAGAATCAGGTAAACGGAATGGGGCGTTCAGGAAAAAAAAGGCGCTCTCTTAGTAGATCGTCGACAAACGAACTATCGAAGTTCCCAGTTCACAACTTGTTTGGCGTTGGTGACGGGCATTCCTCAGAGGTTGGATCTCCTCGGTTGAACTCATCGTCTCCCAAACTCACTGAAGCTAACAAAGTTCCGAGGATCAGTGAAATTGAGGTCACAGTTGAAGTTGGAGCTATGATTGGGTTTGAAATCGATGCTTCCAACAAGCTGTTGGTAGAAATTCTTGGAGTAAATGGAGAGTAAAACGTGCCCCAATGAATTTTCTATCGATCAACATTAGGGGAATTGGTGAGAGATATAAGGTGGATTGGGTTAGGAGGCTAAAATTGAAACAAAAGGTCTCCTTCTTAGCGATCCAAGAGACACAGTTAATGGAGGCAGAGAATATTGACATGCGGGGGTGTTGGGGAGCTGATACCTTTGGCTCGAGCAAGGTTAACTCATCAGGTAGGTCGGGTGGCCTCTTGAACGTGTGGGACAGTAGCTTGTTCCAATCTATTGAGGTTATTTCGGCTAAACATTTTTCTAATAAACATTGGTAAGTGGAATGGTGTGGGTGAACCGTTGATCTTTGCTAACGTCTACGGACCTCAGTCAAGCACTGATAAAGCCACTCTCTGGAAGGAGTTATTGGAAATTAAAAACTCCAAATCAGGTACATGGATCATAATGGGGGATTTTAACGCTGTGAGAAGGAAAGAGGAGAGATTTAATTCAATTTTTTGTGCAAAAACTGCAAGTGACTTCAATAACTTCCTACATGAGATGGGCCTCATTGATATGAAAATGGGTGGTCATCGGTTTTCGTGCTTCCGCAACTCAGACCTTAAGTTAAGCAAACTTGATCGATTCCTGGTGTGTCCAACTTTCCTTAACATCTGCCCTCATGCTTCAGTGACCTCTCTCCCTAGAGAAATATCAGATCACTGCCCTATTCTCTTGTCCACATCACGTAAAGATTATTGGCCCAGCCCCATTCAGGTTCTTCAATTCCTGGATGTGTAGGGATGGGTTTGAAAAAGCCTTCATATCCAATTGGAACAACTTTGTAGGTTATGGCACACCTGATTTGTACCTTGCTGCCAAGCTCAAGCATATAAAGAAGGGTTTAAAAAATTGGCGTGCCAAGGAACATCCCAGGGAGGAGGGGAATTTATCAAGGATTAAGAAAATGGTGCATCAACTCGATATCGAAGCTGAATCAAGGCAGCTGACTGAGCAGGAGCTTATGGAGAGGACCTCAGGGTATAAGTCAATCATTGAGTTGGAAAAGATCAGAAGTATGGATCTCAGACAGAAGTCCAGGATTAAGTGGGCAGTAGACGGGGACGAAAACACAAGTTTTTTTTCATGGATTTATTAATAAAAATAACCGGAAAAATATGATAGATGGCCTAATGATAAATGGTGAATGGTGTACTGATCCGACAATCATAAAACAAGGGGTATGTTCTTTCTTTGTAGAAAAATTCAGTGAAAAATGGCCTAGTAGGCCGAAACTTGTGAACCGACACTTCAGGAAAATCCCCGTCGGTGACTCGGAAGCTTTAGAGGCACCTATCTCACTCCCGGAGATAAAGAATGTGGTATGGGCGTGTGGCAACGAGAAGGCCCCAGGGCCTGATGGATTTACATTTATGTTCGTCAAGAAATACTTTGAGCAATGTGGTAAAATTGATTCTTCTTGTAACTCCTCCTTCATCTCGCTGGTCCCCAAAATCAAGGATCCTCTATTGATTAGCGATTATAGACCAATAAGTCTCATTGGATGCATCTATAATATCATCTCCAAAATCCTCTCGCTTAGAATGAAGAAGGTGATGGGGCAGTGCATTGACGAGGTGCAAACAACATATGTTGAAGGAAGAAGTATTCTTGATGGACCTCTTGTGGTTAATGAGATTTAATCATGGGCGAAAAAGACCAATAAGAAAGTTCTCTTATTTAAGGTGGACTTTGAAAAGACATTTGACTCCATAAACTGGAACTTCCTAGATACCAATCTGATGCACATGGGATTTGGAAATAAATTTAGAATGTGGCTAAAAGGATGCCTTGGATCTGCAAGATCCTCTGTTCTTGTCAATGGAAGCCCGGCCGAGGAATTTCCAATATCTAAAGGCGTCAGGCAGGGCGATCCGCTATCTCCGTTCCTTTTTATAACAACTATGGAGGGCCTTAGTGTTGCGATGCGATCAGCATGCGAACGGGGAATCTTCCAAGGTGTTAAACTTCCAAATGGGGGACCTTTGATCTCGCATCTGCTATATGCAGATGATGCATTATTTCTTGGTGAGTGGTAAAGGAGAAACATCAATAATTTAGGTCGAATTCTTCACTGCTTCCATGTTGCATCAGGATTAAAAGTAAACTTTCACAAATCTAGAGTATTTGGAGTTGGATCAGAAATGCAGGAAGTCTCAAGCTGGGCTAGTGTTCTTGGATGTGAACCCTCCTCCCTCCCCTTCACATACCTAGGAGTTTCGGTTGGAGCCAACATGAATTTAAAGAAGAACTGGAAACCGATTGTAGATAGATTTCAAGCCAAACTTTCAAAATGGAAATAAAAAACCCTCTCCTTTGGTGGTAGATTGACTCTCATATAATCAGTACTTGGTAACCTACCAACATATTACCTGTCACTGTTTGTAGCACCTGATGGTGTAATCCAAGTTCTCGAGAAATTAAGGAGTAGGTTTTTATGGGGTGCTTCGGAAGAAAGTAGGAAAATACATTGGATTTCTTGGGATACGGTGGTTGCACCCAAGGAATCGGGAGGTTTAGGTGTTGGTACGTTAAAAAGCCTCAATATATCCCTTTTGATGAAATGGTGGTGGAAGTTGAGAACTGAACCTTACAGCCTTTGGGCAGAAGTCATCGTAAGCATGCACAACCTCAGGACAAAACCTGATGATGTATACTCAAAACGATCTCTATCGGGAGTGTGGAATAACATTGCTGGGATAAGAAAGGCCCTTGTGAAAAAGGATATTTATGTTACGTTTGTGATATTTAAACAACCCATAGCTCATGGAGCAATCTGGAGATGTGGACTTACTTCGAATAGAGCATACACAGTCTGTGCTCTCAGACAAAGATGGGACTACCGGCCTCACAACAATGATAGGAAATTCTATTGGCTTAAAGAAGTTCCTTTGAGAGTCAATTGTTTTATATGGCGGGCGAAAATGGGCAGGATCCCAGTAGCTTTGGAGCTGTCAAAGAGAGGGGTATTTATGGAAACATTGACTTGTCTTATGTGTAATGAACGTGAAGAAGGCACTGATCACGTTTTAGTGGACAGCCCTTATGCTAGGAAGGTTTTCGAAGGAGTATTCAACTGGTGTAATGTGAACAGGGAAAATTTTCATTTGGTGAAGGATGTTATGGACTATGTTTCTCGGTAGGGATGGTGCCAAAAAAAGAGAAAGCTCCTCCTGACAATCTACTATGGAACAATATGGAATATTTGGAAATCAAGGAACGAAAGAGTCTATAAGAAAAACCGGCTACCACCAGACAAGGTCATTGGTATTATTAAATCAACAACATATCTCTGGGTGAAAAACATGGGAAAAATTAATCGGCTGGACTGGGCAACATGGTCTCAATGCCCATTGTCTTATTGACTATGTCAATTTTAGTTTAGCTTCCTTGTATTTTCTTTTTTTATGCTAAACTTTTGTAAGCCACTAATTGTGGCTGATTATTTTTCTTGTGGTTATTAATATATATCTTATTGGCCGGTTCAAAAAAAAAAAAGTCAGGTTCAAAATAGCCGATTTTAAAAGGCATTAATTGTGCTTTTACAAGGCGCAAATTTACCCAACAACATAAATTGTGTCAATAAAACTTGATTGACATTTCACATTCAATTTTTAGGGCGTTCAATAATGAATTTTGCTGTTGGTGATGCACGTGGAAATGGCAGTTGTAGCAAACCTTGAAACATTTGAACTTCTTCCTCGCTAGAAACAAATGTATTGAGCTCTATTCGTGTTTTCTTCAGCAGAGGTGACTTAGCCATGACGAGCTTCACAAATTCCATCTCTAGAGCACTAATACGACATCTTGTTATCTCCAATTCTTTAAGATGATCCAAGTTGAGGCCCGAGTAGACTTGAAGATCAAGAAACTTCATGAAAGTTTGTTGAGCACACCAGCTATGTTCCCAACACATCTAATCGGAAAAACAAAGTCAGATTTATTAATGGAATTGTGAAAATCCTACGGGTGACAAATCAGACAGACAGTCGTGTAGTGTTTTTAACTGGCACAACACAACACGACAATTTTTATATAACATGATCACGACACTATGTCATGTTTTGTTGTACTAACACGAAAACGACCAAATTAAAAAAACACGATAAAAACGAAAAAGATAAAATAAAATAAACATTTTAGTTTATTTAATTCATAATTAATCATACAAAACATGAAAACCCCGACAAACACATAATATCGTGTAAAATTCGTACACGACACAACATCGTCTTTTTTACACTTCGACATGTACACAGACACGAATTCAAATTTTAATTTTGTTCCAATTTCGTTTCGTGTCATGCTATGGATATTTCTATCCCTAAAAAATCCATTATAAACAAAAATGTGATAGCATGCAGTTTATATTTACCTTCACTCGAGTTTTGTCTAAATTTGGGGAATTGTTGATCACAAGATGAAAGCTCAAGGAAACACACTTCAAGCACAAGTATCCTCAAGTGGACTAGAGAAGTGGGGAGCTTCTATGGCGAACCATGAACAACAAATAGCTTTAACCAAATACCAAAACAAGGATTAAAACACAATATTTTTGCATGAGATAGTACAATCAAGGTAAGTAGCACCTCCCCATAAAACTGAGAGAGTTCCAAAACTTGAATCGAAGGTAAACACTCAAACAAATCAACAAATGCACACTTGTTTTCTCTGTAAAGTCTTTTTGATCTCCAATTTGCATCAAAATACCTCAATTAGGTTATGTTTGTCGAACTAGCTGATAAAAAATGACGATTGAGTGTTTTTATAACTAATAAAATGTATATTTGGGAGAATCTAAAAAACTAAAAAAAACCCAATAAGCTCGTTGAAACGATAGTCAAGCTTTTTTAAAAGCTAGTTTATAAGCTATTTTTTGGTTGCCTAACATGACAACCTAAAAAACCGGAAAAAATAAGATAGATGTGGTGCGACAAAAATAGCGAAGAGGCTTCATAACTCATAAGTAGTTATGGAGTTATGGACCTTACCAAGGTAAACTCCTAAGTAGGGGGCAATTAGTAAGGAGTTGTAGAAGTGTCTTGGTAGTGATGTCAACATTGAGAAACCTCAAATTCCTCTACATACTAAATCCGTTAAATAATAATGGTGGCTCAAATACACAATCTGTAAGATCTAGGTGTTCTAATCCATACAGCAAAAAGAACAAAGAGGATAGCTTATAATGGTTATCGGGTGACCAAATCTCAAAGATGAATTTCTTGAGGTTATTGCTCCTTGAAAGATGAAGTATAATCTGGTTTATAACACAATAATATTTGGAAGGAAACGGATCTGCTTTATAACATACAGACTCTATTTGCATATCAATACAATAAGCAGCTATACATTTTTAAATGCTAGACATTATTCGTATTTCTTTTGTGATTGTATTTATATTCTGTTTTTTAGCTTTTCCTTTTGTTTTATTGCTCAAGCATCAAAGTGACAATGAAGAAGAGTTACGAATAGCGCTTCATCATAATGCTAATAATCAAATCAAAAACACAATTAAACAAGTTCAAAATAGCCAATAAAGGCATTCATTGTGCTTTTACAATCCTTAAATTTACCCTACAACACAAATAAACTACCACTAAAACTTAATTTACTTTCACATGTAAATTTTAAATGCGTTCGATAATGAATTCTGTTGGTAGTGATGCATGTAGAAATGGCATTTGTAGCAAATCTTGAAACATTTGAACTTTTTCCTCATCAGAACCAGATGTATTGAGCTCTATTTGTGCTTCCTTCAACAGAGATGACTTAGTCGTGATGAGCTTCAAAAACTCCATCTCTGGAGCATAGTTATGGAAACTTGTCATCTCAAATTCTTTAAGATGAGCCAAGTTGAGGCCTGAATAGTCTTTAAGATCAACCAAGTTCTTGACAGGTTGTTCAACAAAACACATCTAATTAAAGAAGCTTCATAAGTGGTCATATGGACCTTACCATGGTAAACTCCTCAAGTAGGGGGCAATCAGTAAGGAATCGTAGAAGTGTCTTGATAGTGATGTCAACATTATGAAACCTCAACTTCCTCAACATACTAAATCCATTAAATAACAATGGAGGCTCAAATACACAATCTGTAAGATCTAAGTGTTCTAATCCATGCAATGAAAAGAACAAAGAGGGTAGCTTGTAGCGACTATTAGGTGACCAAATCTCAAAGATGAATATCTTGAGGTTATTGCTCCTTGAAAGATGAAGTATAATCTGGTTAAACTCATTGAAGATATACGTATCAGCCATACAGACAACGATTTCCAAAATCGGACCTTTGTGTAGCAACAAAACGTGCAAGATTGCATTGCCAAAGAATACCTCCATTTCTTTGACAAAATACTCGTCCTTAATGCATCTCGGATTGGCATAAGAGTCAGAATTTTTTCAATTATGTCTTGAGGAAGAGTGCTGATTCTATCCGAATTTAGGTTCATATCTTGATGAGTTCCTCAAAAGTTAATACTCCACAATGCTGCAAAGTAGAATTCAAAACCAAATATATTTATTTCCTTAAAATTCGTAGCCAAAAGCCATGCATATCTAGAGCAGCATTTAAAGAAAATGTAAATACTTGTTTTAAACAAATAGGAACCTGTTGCTTCAAACTTCAAATATACAGTATTAACGAAAATCATATATGTTCCTAAGTATGATTCACCTGAATACTAGAGTCCTAACTCCTTGATTTCCAAAAGTTAAGCTCTTAGTATACCCCTCATTAGCATTATAAAACTATTAAGAAATTAATGATTTTTTTCAAGCAAAATAAAGGATTATATTGCAGCGTCTCAAGATAAATCACCATAAAAGAAGAGAAGAAAATTACCGGCTGCAGCTGCGCCCCCTGATTTGCTGTCTCCCCTTCCCTGTCTTTCAGTCCGAGACCCTTAAATTTTCATTTTAGACAACATTACACTAATTGTCATGTGGTTTGCAGTAATATCTACTTTGGTCCTTCAGGTTCCTTTTTTTTCCCTTCTTTTTAGTTCCTCATGCTTTGTTGCCTCTTCGGTTTCTTTTGGACAGAAAAAAAACAAAACTTTGTCCTTAGAAATTTATTATAATTTATAAATTATTAAAATTAAAATAGACCCACATTAGTTTGCTCATTGATAATATTTTTGTTAAAGTTACACGAACTTTTCAAATACAATGTCGGAATCAATAAGAGGGTTTAACGGGTAGTTTCAGAAACATGAGGGGTTTTGAACAAAAATTACACTCTCAAGTCCGAAACTCCAAATAAACACCCCTTCGTTTTCCCCCAAAAACCAATTTCACGTTGGGCTTCCAAACATCATCCGTCCCCTTTCTCTGCTAAACCCTTCTACGTTATTCTCTCAGGTCAGTTTCACTCTGTTTTCTTCATTTTTCTGTTATGCGGTTGTCGATTGTAAGCTATTAGATTTCCCGTTGTGCTCAATCACCAAGTTGTCTGAATCATACTCAAATTTGTATTTATTTTTCATGTTATCGTTCTTATGCATTTTATTGATGAAGTTGATCTAATAGATTAGGTTTTTTTGTTTGCGTGATCCATTTCATCTTGCAATTATGTCTCTTAACCAAAGTTTCACGAGCAACTCTGAGCACCGAACAATTTGAATACAGTGATTTTTATGTGTTTTCAACCGTAGACAATTTCAATGCTTGAATTTGAAAATTGATGGTGAATATAAGTCTTAATCACATTCAGAGTTGCTGAAATAGTGTTTCAATACGCATATGAATGTATTTCTGACTAATATTGTTACATAAGCTGATAGATTGAGAACGAACACTGTTAGTGGATGTTTAATTAAGCTTGGTAAGTAGGAAACATGATACCCATGGCTTTGTAGTCGCTCTGGAATCTGAGTATAACTGTATAAGATGCTATAGTCTATAAATCCAATGAAATTTGCAAACAATTTCCATTTTGTTACAATCACAGAACACATCATCTTCTTTCTGCCTTTTTTTCTTTAAAAAACTCTACTAGTGCCTGCAAGGATAGAAATACTTAACTTGTTTACATTGTTTGAGATAATTGAAGGTAATTGCATCAGCAAACAGAAGCATTGTTGGAACATAAAGTCAATTATGGCATATGGAGGCACACCTTCGGGCCCACCTGCAGCTGCAGGCAGTTCTCCTGCAATGAAGCAGGTGAAACTGGAGAAAGAAAGTGAACTCAGGATTGAAGTCAATTTTAACAGTTCTCTTCGCCTCAGGCTACTAAATGGGACAGCTGAGATATTTGGGACCGAAATGCCCCCAGAAAATTGGCTCATCTTCCCACCAAGAATGAAATTTGCTGTAAACTCTTAACAACTTTGAAAAAAAAAAATCCCACTAGGAATATTAAAGATCACCTGAATCTTGTCCTCTTGTAATACTTTTTTTTCCTTCTTTTTGGAATTTCAGATATTTACATGGTATGGGGCCACCATTGAAATGCAAGACAACACTGAAACTGATTATGTAGCAGATGAGGTAGGATATTATATCACGTCACCATTGTATTTTACTTGCTTAATGTTACAATAATCTTAATTTTTTTGCTTTCTATTTTGATATAAAGACACCAATGATCAGTTATGTAAACGTGCATGCTGTACTTGAAGGGCGTAGAAATCGTGCAAAAGCCTCTCCTAGTGATTCTGATGCTTCCCAGGTGTCTTTTACCTTTCTTTCCTTATGCTTTCAATCTCTAATAACATTTCCATGACAAAATAATAACTATTTCACCAAATTCTGTATTTCTTTAGGGTCCCAGGGTGATTGTTGTGGGACCCACAGATTCTGGAAAGAGTACATTATCTAGAATGCTTCTTAGCTGGGCAGCCAAACAAGGATGGAAACCTACTTTTGTGGATTTGGACATTGGGCAAGGATCTATAACCCTCCCTGGGTGTATTGCTGCAAGCCCAATTGAAATGCCAATTGACCCTGTTGAAGGGATTCCTCTTGAAATGCCTCTTGTTTACTTTTTTGGACACAACACTCCAACGTATCAATCTTTTACTCACTCATTCATTTATGTCTTTATTTTCTTTGTGATGTGTTTGTTACTTTTGTTTTTGTTTGAAAATTTCTTACTTTTGTTTTTGTAGTGTTAATGCAGATCTTTATAGGGTACTAGTAAAGGAGCTAGCACAGATATTGGAAAGGCAATTTGCTGGGAATCCTGAATCTAGGGCTGCAGGCATGGTCATCAACACCATGGGATTCATTGATGGACTTGGTTATGATGTATGTGTTGAAAAAAGTTGTACCTTGAAAAAAAATTACAATACAATAATTAGGAAAAAAAAATCAACTTATGTTGACTAGCATTTTGTGTCTCTTTGCAGCTTCTTTTGCATGCAATTGATACATTCCAGGCTACTGTTGTTCTTGTGTTGGGTCAGGTAAAAGAATTATCTCCATAAAGTTTATAATATCATTTTGTATGTCATAAAATGATGGATGAAATTGAACTATAAATTGCTAATACTTTTTGTTTTATTTATTTATTTTTAAAAACAGGAGAAACTTTGCAGCATGTTAAAAGATGTACTAAAACGAAAATCTAATGTGGATGTAGTGAAACTACAAAAATCAGGTGGTGTTGTATCCAGGAATTCAAAATTCAGAGCAAGTGCAAGGAGTCAGAGGATAAGAGTAAGTCAAAATAAGTCAAAAGTTTAGATGATCATATAATTTTTTGGCTAACATTTTTATTTTAAATTAATTACAGGAATATTTTTATGGTCTTTCAAATGACCTTTCCCCTCACTCAAGTATAGCGAATTTCAATGATTTGAGTATTTATAAAGTTGGGGGTGGCCCACAGGCCCCAGCTTCAGCTCTCCCTATTGGTGCACAGCCTGTGGCGGACCCCATGAGATTGGTTCCTGTAAACATCAACAGGGATTTGCTTAATTTAGTTCTTGCTGTCTCTTTTGCAAAAGAACAAGATCAGATTCTTTCAAGGTATTCTTTTAAATTGTTTTAATAAAACTTATTATATATGGTGCTTACTATTTTGGTTTGGTTTATTTGCTTTTAATGTAGCAACATAGCTGGGTTTATTTGGATCACTGATATTGATATTCCAAGGTTTGATTGAGAGCTCTGAATTTATTAAAGATTAAATAATAAATAGAGAATACAAATTAATTTTGTGTTGTATTTACAATGTCAGGAAGAAAATCACATATCTAGCTCCATCAGGTGGAGAACTTCCCAGCAAGTTCTTGTTAATGGGAAGCTTAACATGGATTGAAACCTAAACTGCAAGTCTTTATTGCCATTTTTTTTTTGTTAATGTAAGCCGTTTGTTTTTTGATCCATGTAGCATTGAGGGCCCAACAAGCAAACTTGGGTATTTAATTTGTAGTATATGTAGCAATATCTATGACTTCTTAAATTTTTTTTTTTGGCTTAAGCATGGTTGGATAAATGATGTTTTAAAAAGTATTTTAGAAAATGACGGCATGTTTGTGTAAGGTGAATATACAGGTTTTGAAATTAAGACTAAATATCAAAATCAATTGGTGATGAAAGACGCTGAAGAACTAAGAATCAGGGAGAGGGAGAGATTAGCGTCAAGTTAGGTTTGAAAATTGAAATTATGATTTGAATTTGAATGTAATTTCTAGGGATAACAGAGAGTCGTGGTGAAGAAAAAGGGGGAATTCGACTGATTTCATGAAACTTGAGTAGACAAAAACTCATCGGATAAGACAAATCCAAGCTGATAAAAAAAATTGAAAAACTAGGAATAATTAAGACTAAATATCAAAATCAATTGGTGATGAAAGACGCTGAAGAACTAAGAATCAGGGAGAGGGAGAGATTAGCGTCAAGTTAGGTTTGAAAATTGAAATTATGATTTGAATTTGAATGTAATTTCTAGGGATACAGAGAATCGTGGTGAAGAAAAAGGGGGAATTGGACTGATTTCATGAAACTTGAGTAGACAAAAACTCATCGGATAAGACAAATCCAAGCTGATAAAAAAAATTGAAAAACTAGGAATAATTAAGACTAAATATCAAAATCAATTGGTGATGAAAGACGCTGAAGAACTAAGAATCAGGGAGAGGGAGAGATTAGCGTCAAGTTAGGTTTGAAAATTGAAATTATGATTTGAATTTGAATGTAATTTCTAGGGATACAGAGAGTCGTGGTGAAGAAACAGGGGGAATTGGACTGATTTCATGAAACTTGAGTAGACAAAAACTCACCGGATAAGACAAATCCAAGCTGATAAAAAAAATTTGAAAAACTAGGCATAATTAAGACTAAATATCAAAATCAATTGGTGATGAAAGACGCTGAAGAACTAAGAATCAGGG